TTTTTTTCTTTTTGGGTCACATACAGCGATGCTCAGGGGTTTCTCCTGGCTCATGCACTCAGGAATTACTCCTGGCAGTTCTCAGTGGACCATATGGGATACTGGGAATAGAACCCGGGTCTGCCACGTGCAAGGCAAATGCCTTACCTGCTGTGCTATCACTCCAGCCCCTCAGGGTTTCCTTCTGGCTCTGCACTCAGGAATTACTCCTGGTGGTTCTCAGGGGGCTATATGGGATGCCAGGGATCGAACCTGGGTCGGCCAGAACTGACACTGGGGGGGAGGGGGGGAGTGTTGCTTTGTACTTGGACCAGCAGCGGTAGTGGAAGGGCCATTCACAGTTCTGTTTTCTGTGCCCCGGCTTCTGCATCCCTCAAGTTTCTGTTTGGAGCGTGCTGGGAGCTGGGGGGTCTGGAAAAAAGGTAACAGGCAGTGACGTGACAATCTTATTCTCGCCCTTCATATATATGGACGCCACACTCGTTGGTGTTCGGGGTCAGCAGTGCCACGTGGGGCCCAGGAGCGAACTCGGCCTTGCATGTGCTGAGCATGTGTCCTACCACCCAAACCATCTTCCAGGCCCTGGCCACTAAAAATAAAGTTTGTTTTGTTTTGTTTTGTTTTGTGGGAGCCTCCCAAGTGGTGCTGATAGGCCCAGAGGCCCTTGGGCAATTGTTGGCTGCCCGGGCTGAGGGTTAATGCAGGAGCTTGAGTGAGATTAATGCAGGGACCCTGCAGTGCAGGGGATTCCCATGGCTACTGTTACCCTGGTGGAAGGTCCAGGATCGCACCCACCTGGTGATATTTTGGGGGACCATGTGGTCCCAGGAATCGGACCCACGCCAAGTGCATGCAGGCGTGTGCCCTGACTGCTGTCCTGTCTCCCAGCCCCAGCAATCCAAATTTTTCCATGGCCGTGTGCCCCAAGCTGGCAGAGACTAGAGGCACCTCAGTGCAAACTTATCCCGAGCGCTGGGGAACGTGCAGTCATTTGTCTTGAGGAAGTGCTTCATTGCTTGGAAGTATTTTTGTTTGGGGACCACACCCCGTGGTGCTCAGGGATCACTCCTGGTCGGCCCTGGGGGGACCATGTGTAGTAACCGGGTGGGCCGAGAGCACAGCGGGAACCTTCCCTGCTGCAGTCCCTGGCCTCCACGTCGCTTCGTGTCCAAGATAAACTGTTACCAAGAGAAGCCAGTCATGAAATGAAAGTCCTTCCTTCTCCCTACCTGGAACAGGTACCCCTGCCTGTTGGGCTCCCCCCAGAAGCTCCATGAGGAATCCAGAGTGCCCCCTCTGCTCTCCCGGGACCTCAGGACCCCCTTAGGAACCCCCTCCGAAAACCCACAGCCAGGCCTCTTCTAGCCTAGGGCTGTTCCTGCTTCTGCTTCTCTCCGGGTGTGTTTCTCTGTGCCCCAAAATTGTGCCTCCAGCCATGACTGTTTCTGCCTCTGTGAACCCTGGCCCTGAGGGATGAGTTTTTTTTTTTAATTTTTATTAGTGAAAAAAATTTTTAAAAATTTTTATTACTGTACCATGAGGTACAGTTGTAGACAATGGAGTACTATGTAGCTGTTAGAAAAGATGTAGTCATGAAATTTACATACAAGTGGTCATGGTCACAGTCCTCCCGTTGTTCATCGATTTGCTCGAGTGGGCCCAGTAACGTCTCCATTGTGAGACTTGTTGTTACTGTGTTTGGCATATCAAACACATCACGGGGAGCTTGCCAGGCTCTGCCGTGTGGGTGAAATACTCTCGGTAGCTTGCCGGGCTCTCCGAGAGGGGCGGAGGAATCGAACTCGGGTCGGCCATGTTGGCTGCGTGCAAGGCAAACACCCTACCGCTGTGCTATCGCTCCAGCCCATACATACAGGTGGTACTACATGGAAAGTATCATGCTAAGCGAAATGAGTCAGAAAGAGAGGGATAGACATAGAAAGATTGCATTCATCTGGGGAACATAAAGTAACAAAATAGGAGACTAACACCCAAGAGTGGACGAGATTAGTACCAGGAGTTTTGCTCCATGACTTGGAGGCCAGCCACACACTCTAGGGGCTTGAGTCTTTTAAGAATTCACTGTCACTGTCCTCCCATTGTTCATGGATTTGCTCCAGCAGGCCCAGTAACATTGTGAGACTTGTTACTGTGTTTGGCATATGGAATATGTCATGGGGAGCTTGCCAGGCTTTGCTGTGCAGGCAAGATACTCTCAGTAGATACTCTCCACGAGGGATGGAGGAATCGAACTTGGGTCGGCCGAGTAGGCCGCGTGCAAGGCAAATAAATGCCCTACTCGTTGTGCTATCGCTCCAGCCCTCAAGAACTCAAAAACTCAAGAAATCCTGATGAGAAGGTGCAGGGGGAAATAATGAAATAATCCCCGTGCATGCATGCAGGGTCTTGATGAGGAAGTGTGAGCTGTGAGGGTGATCGAGTTAAGCTGTTGTGTAAGTTCAGGCTTTGGGTTTCGAGCCAGGAGCTTATGAAGTGTTTGGCCTGAAGTGTGTGCTGGTGTTTGTTCTCGAGAAGATTCTGCGCAGTGGTTCTTACTCGAAGAGAATTCCAAACCTGGGCTGACAACAGCCCCCCTCCCCCACCCCCCATCCCCCCAGCTCCTCCTTGGGAGGGCCGGACCCCTGGGAACTCAGTCTCCTGGGAGAAAGGGAAAAGCGGCTGGAGCCGGCCTCCCCCTCCCTTACCGCCCTCACCCTCTTATCTTTGCTTGCCAGCTCTCTGGGAAAGGAGATGAATTGTTGAAATTCAGCAGCCAATGTGATTCAGCAAATCCAGGGCCTTGAAAAGGCAAATAAATACCTGGAGAGAACTTTGCAAAAAGCCATTTGGCCTTTGGCAGGAGGAGGTGGGTGGGGAGAGGCCTGCGGGAGCTCAGCCAGGCTGACCCACCTTTCTGTTCCAGTCCGGATCTTGGCAAACGACAAGTTAGCCCCTGTCAGGACTAACGGAAGTCCGCGTGAGGGCGCACAGGGGGCCACAGAGCAGGGGGCTGCAGCCTCTGCTGGCCTTAGCTTCCAGCTGTCTCGGAGGTCCGTGACACGGGCCTTGTGCCACCGTCGAAACTCAAACCCTCTGTGGCATCCATGGTCCCTGTAGCCTGGCCCAGTAGCCTCCAAATGCCCAGAGATGTAGGGGTGAAGTCGGGGTTTGAACCCGGCTTGGTCTGCTTTAGAGCGTGGTACCCAGAATAAAGACTCAGAGCCGAAGTGCAGTGAGCTGCAAGTGTCCCCATTGGGACGGGGACAAGAGAGAGTGTCCTGGTCTCCCCACAGCTGGGGCCTTCCCGGGAGCTGGATGGAGGAAGAACTGGGTCAAGAGCACAGAGACTGGCCTTGAGCCTGGCAGAGGCTTGTCCGGTGCCCTGCATCTGGGGGGCTGAGCCAGGAATGTGTAGTCCCTGGTAGTAGGGTTGCCCCATAATGGTAAACATCAGCCGTTTCTGCAAGGGGCCAGGCACTGCGTGGACAGTCCTCCTGGTCATTGTGTGGGTGAGTCACCCAGACCAGCCAGCCTCCCCCGCGCACCCCTCTCCCCTCTGCCCGCCCCCTTCAGGTAAAGCAGGCGACTGAGATGTGAGACCCCATTCAGAGTGCTGACGGGGTCTCCGCACCTACACCTCATCCAGAAGGCCCTGGGGCCGGAGTCAGCATGAACTCAGCATCTCTGGGGTTCCTGCAGGAACTCTGCATACCCACGTGCCCCCCTGGGTGCCAGTGCCCGCCCCCCGAGTCATGTTTGCCCGCCGTCATTGCCCAGAAGGGTTAGAGGTAGCACAGCGGTAGGGCTTTTGCCTTGAATGCGGCCAGCCCGGCCGACCCAGGTTTGATTCCTCCGCCCCTCTCGGAGAGTCCGGCAAGCTAGCGAGAGTATCTCGCCCTCACAGCAAAGCCTGGCAAGCTCCCCGTGACGTATTCGATATGCCAAACACAGTAACAACAAGTCTCACAGTAGAGACGTTACTGGGCCCGCTCGAGCAAATCGATGAACAATGGGAGGACAGTGTTACAGTGCTACATTGTCCAGAAACACCCAGAGCCTTCCCCTAAATGCAGCCGGCTGCCTTCTGCCGTGGTGGCGGGATGGGGCTCACTGCTGGCCCCAGAGGGAAGGCTGGGAGAGTGGCCACTGGGAGAACAGCCCTGGCCCTGTCTGTGGCCCCCGAGTCCGGCTGAGGTGACGGCAGAGGCTCCTGGGGCCCCGAGCCCAGCTCAGCGATGCAGTCACGGTGGGAGGCAGGAGGGTGGCCTTGGACAGATGGACAGAGGAAGAACAACCGAAGTTCACCCGAAGTTCACTTCCTTCCCCAGTCACAGCAGCTCTGGCCGTTTGGTTTGGTTTGGTTTGGTTTGGTTTGGTTTGGTTTTCTGCAAATGCACTATACTTACGCTGACATTTAGCTGTTTTTGCCTTGTGGCCGGCTGGCTGCCCTTTCCCTGACCGCTCCTCTGTGTCAGAGAGGCTCTCCCCTTTGCGCTGGCCTGAGGCGACCTTGTGAATTTGATGTCTGTGCCTGCCCCAGTGTCGAGGCCCAGGACAGAGGCCCTCGTCGAGTTGGGTGTCCACTGTGTCGCCAGGCCTCGAGCATTGCCCGCTATCCGCTGTTCTCCCAAGCAGAGCCGGGCCGGGCTGGGCTGGGTTCGCTCCCCTCCCCGGGAGTCTGGCCTGGGTCTGCGACTTAGATGAGAATGTGGTGGCCAGAATGAGGCTTTGTGTGACTTTGGAAGGTTAGATCTGTTGGTTAATTTTGTGATTTGGGGGCCAGAGCTGGTGGTACCCGGGGCAGACTCCTGACTGTGCCTAGGGGTCACTACTGGCGGGGCTCGGGGGGCTTTATGGGGTGTCGGGGATGGAACCTGGGTCAGCTGCCTGTAGGGAAGGCGCCTTCCCTGTTGGCACTGTCGCTCGGCCCCTCCCTTCCTCGCCTGGAGGGTCAGCACTGCCGCAGAGCTGGCCTCGAGCTTGGTCCCTTCTCTTTGTAGATCTTCATAAACAATGAGTGGCATGACGCCGTCAGCAAGAAAACGTTCCCCACCATCAACCCATCCACTGGGGAGATCATCTGCCAGGTTGCCGAGGGAGACAAGGTGAGAACTGGCTGCTTCCGGGAAGGGGGGACGGGGGGCAGAGCTGGGAAGGCTTCGTGAACTGCTTCATGCTATTGTGTGCTTGAAACTTGGCCACCAAATTAAACTTGTGTGATGAAGGGGGAAAATTTTTTTTTTGGTTGTTATCGTTTCCCAAGGAGGCTGGGTGGTTCAGTGCTTGGACCCAGCCAAGCGCTGCTCCAGCCCAGTGCTCCTGGGCCCACCAAAACCATGCCTGTCAGTGCTCAAGAGACCACGCAGCACGGGGACCAAAGTCACTGGAAATGTGTTAACATGAGTCAAACCCTCCCTCCTATTTGTTGCTGTTGTTGTTGTTGTTTGGGTCATACCCGGCACTGCTCAGGGGTTCCTCCTGGCTCTGCACTCAGGACTTTCCCCTGGTGGTGCTCAGGGGACCGGATGGGATGCTGGGAATCGAACCTGGGTCAGCCGTGTGCAAGGCAAACGCCCTCCCCGCTGTGCTATCGCTCGGGCCCCAAACCCTCCCTCCTATTGCACTGCTGGGCATTTCCTCTGCATCCCTGGGTGAGGGGAGGTGGTTCGACCCTCATGCCTTGGGAAGGCCAGCTGTCTCTGGGCTGTGTCCATCAGATTCTGCGCACTCACCCCTGGCGCTTCTCTCTCCAGCTTTGGAGGATTTTGAAATGAAAAAGAAGAAGCGGGAGCTGGTAATCTCCAGTTTCCAGTGAAGCCCATTGTCAGTTCTGAACCTGGCCGAGCCTTTCAGGCTCCCAGACAGGACTGGGAAGGGCTGATTTCCATCCCCTATGGCGCAGGAAGGTTGCGCAAGGGTCGTGGGGGTGAGCTGTTGCCCAGCCGGCCTGACCGGCCTCCTGGCTGGGTGTTTTCCAGGCAGACGTGGACAAGGCCGTGAAGGCTGCCCAGGCCGCCTTCCAGCTGGGCTCGCCCTGGCGCCGTATGGATGCGTCCACCAGGGGCCAGCTGCTGAACCGCCTGGCCGACCTGATCGAGCGGGACCGGACCTACCTGGCCGTGAGTTCTCAGCCCCCCTGCATCCTCTCCGCTAGTGGGTCAGAGCCTCCCGCGGCCTCCCGGAGAGGCCGCACTGCCCACTGGGGACGGTTAGACCCCCTGCAAGGGACACCCATGCGCCGATCAGCTCGCACGTGCCGCGTCTCCTTGGGACAGTGGTTTTGGCTAAGAAACGAGGAAACCGAGGGGAGAGCCTTCCCAGGAGGCGGGGACACAAGCCCTGTGCCCTCTAGCAGAGGGGCTTCTTCCTGACTGCCAGAGAACAAAGAAACCAGGGCCAGCTCTCTCCCTTCTCCCCATCCATCTGGCAGCTACAGTGAACCTTCTAGAAGGTTCATCCATCCCCTCCGGCGTCCTGGATCCTTAGGGTCCAGCCTGATTCCCTTCACTGACCCGCAGAGCTTGGCTCCGTGTCCAGCCGGTGCTGGACAGTGGACGCCCAACTTCCCGCATACCCCCAAGTCCCTCGTGCCTCGGGGCCGCTGCGCCTGGCCTGCTCCTGCCTTGGCTTGCCCGTCTCCTCCCCTTTGCCCTCACACATCGCCTTCCGGTTTAGCCTCGCCACACCCAGTGCAGTGGCTGGCTGAGAAAGGGGTGCATGATTCCCCCTCCCCTCCTTTGCAGGGGGAGGGCCGGTGGGCCCTGAAATGCCACGAGGATGCCATGGCGCTGAGGTCGCCTTTAACAATCCACGCCGCCCCCGTTTTCCGTGCTTTATCGTTGGCGCGTCTGTGCTCATCTTCTGTGTTCGTAGGCCCTGGAGACTCTGGACAATGGCAAACCCTACGTCATCTCCTACCTGGTGGATCTGGACATGGTCGTCAAATGCCTCCGGTAAGGCCCTTGTCCCCGCGCTGCTGAGGGGGAGGGACCTGAAGGGGGGTGGGGTTGAGACAGAGCAATGTGAGATTTGAGAGGGGGACAGGGTCAACTGTGTAGGTTCCGGCTGGTGGAAGTGACCCGTCAATACCAGAACTGTAGTTCTGTAAGCATTTCCTCAGGTCTGGGGGTTCTCCCAGCGGTGCTGGGGGGCAGAGGTGGGCTGTGTGGTGCCAGGAATGAAACCCAGGGTGCTCTCTCATGGGGTCGTCTCCCCAGCCCCAGAATTCAGAACCTTTCACGGGCCCGAGGTGGTTCTGAGGCTTTGAGGCAGTTACCTAGATCTGGTCGATGTGGCACCAGCCACATGACTCAGATCTCATCAAGAGCAAGGCCATTTTTGGGGAGATGCCGGGGGTCCGGTCGAGGTCTTCCCCGGGGACAGGCTGATGGGCCCCTTTCTCGTTCTGCAGATACTATGCTGGCTGGGCTGATAAGTACCATGGGAAGACCATCCCCATCGACGGCGACTTCTTCAGCTACACCCGCCACGAGCCCGTGGGGGTGTGTGGGCAGATCATCCCGGTGAGTGAGCCTCACGGCGCGGGGCTCTGTCAGGGTGCAGAGACACGGGGGGGAACGGGCTCCCGGCAGGGGGTGAGGGTGGGGGGGCGGCACACAAGGCTGTGTAATGGGCTCTGACGGGGCCAGTCAGGGTTCAGGTGCCAGCTGGCCACTGTGCACTCTGTCGTCTCGGGCAAGTCTTTCTCTCTGCCTCCCCTCCCTTTACTCGTCCGAAAATGAAGAACTCAGCCCCTGTGTATGGGGGTTGAACGTGGTCTATAAAATGCCCTCGTGAGGGACTGGGGAGAGAGAGAGAGAGAGAGAGAGAGAGAGAGAGAGAGAGAGAGAGAGAGAGAGAGAGAGCGCGCAAAGCGGGTAGGGCTTTTGATCCCCGGCATCCCATGTGGTCCCCTGAGCATTTCTAGGTGTGGCCCCCAAAACAAAAACAAGCTCTGGTGACAGTCATTGGGCTGGAGCGATAGCACAGCAGTAGGGCGTTTGCCTTGCACGCAGCCAGCATGGCCGACCCGAGTTCGATTCCTCCGCCCCTCTCGGAGAGCCCAGCAAGCTATCAAGAGCATCTCACCTGCACGGCAAAGCCTGGCAAGCTACCCGTGGCATATCTGATATGCCAAACACAGTAACAGCAAGTCTCACCATGGAGACATTACTGGGGTCGCTCGAGAAAATCGATGAACAACGGGAGGACCGTGACAGTGACAGTGTGACGAGTTGTTGCTGTGTTGCTGTCACCACCAAGACCTGCCTTGTCCACTATTCTTTTTTTTTTTTTTTTTGCTTTTTGGGTCACACCTGGCGATGCACAGGGGTTATTCCTGGCTCTCCACTCAGGAATCACTCCTGGCAGTGCTCAGGGGTCCATATGGGATGCTGGGAATCGAACCCAGGTCGACTGCGTGCAAGGCAAACACCCTACCCACTGTGCTATCGCTCCAGCCCCTTGTCCACTATTCTTAAGCCTATAGGGGGCCGGGGTGATAGCACAGCGGGGAGGGCGCTTGCCTTGCACAGAGCCACAGAGCCGACCTGGGTTCAACCCCCGGGACCGTGGATGGTCCCCTGAGCACAGAGGCAAGAATAACCCCTGAGCACAGCCAGGTGTGGCCCCAACACACACACACACACACACACTGAGGAAAAAACCCTCCAGTGGCATGATGGAGGGTGGGGGTTCGACACCCCCGTGCTGCTGCTTCTCTGGGTGCAGCTTCCGGTTTCAATTCTGGATTTTGTCTGTCTCAGTGGAACTTCCCGCTCCTGATGCAAGCATGGAAACTGGGCCCGGCGCTGGCGACCGGGAATGTGGTGGTGATGAAAGTGGCCGAGCAGACCCCGCTCACTGCCCTCTATGTGGCCAACTTGATTAAGGAGGTGCGTGGCTTGAGGTGTTCTTCTAGAAACATCAGGGACAGTGCCCTTTCACTATACTGCCATGGAGGGGGGAGTGGGGGGCTCTTCTCATTTCTCAGGTCCCCCTCGGGGAATGAAGGTGGGGAACGCGTGGGGAGGGATCAGCGGCCTCCCACAGAACAGGCCCGTGGCCTCCAGCACAGACCCGTGGCTGCACCATTTGGAATTAGTGCGTTTCTGCTGCCCGAGCCCCTTCCTGGCGATTGTGTGCCCCAGCCTGGTCCTCGGGAGCTGCGTGTCACGGTTCTCCGCTTGTTCGTCCCCAGGCCGGCTTCCCCCCGGGCGTCGTCAACATCGTTCCGGGCTTTGGCCCCACCGCCGGTGCCGCCATCGCCTCCCACCCCGACGTGGACAAAGTGGCCTTCACAGGTTCCACGGAGGTGAGATGTTCCCGTACCGCTGTGTTGGCTGGGGGATGCCCGGGCGTGTAGCCTCTGTCTGGGATGGCGCGGGGGAGCCCGCTGTGCCCTGCCCCGTGGACGTGGACGCCTCACAGGGGCTCAAGGGAGGGGCCCCACTGGCTGGGCTGGACCTTGGGGGTTGGGTGATGCTCCAGCTGCAGGGGGCAGGGGACAGGCTCTGTGGAGTAAAGAGGCTGTGACTGGGGCCGGAGTGATGGCACAGTGTTGGGGAGGGCGTTGGCCTGGCACGTGGCTGACCCTGGCTCGATCCCTGGCATCCCGTAGGGTCCCCCAAGCACCGCCAGGACTAATTCCTGAGTACAGAGTTGGGAGTAACCCCTGAGCATCACCAGATGTGACCCCCCCCACCAACCAAAAAAAAAAAGAAACAGGAAAAGAGGCTGTAACCGTCTAAACTCCAGAAAGCCCCAAACTGGCCACCTGACCCAGGGCCCCCATGTGCATGTCTGTGGCAGAGGGAGTGTCAGCCTCACGGACACACTTGAGCCCCGTGCTGAGTGCTGACTTCCTGGGTCACTTTGCCTCTTGGCAGTCACATGAGGCTGGAGGGGGCAGGGAGCTCCATCCAGGGCCAGAGTGTGGCCTTGCCTCCCTGGCCCCGAGTGACTCCCTGAGCACTGCAGTGGCACCGTATTGCAGCCAAGCATCACTGGGACTGGCCCCAGGACCCCCCAACACTGCTTGGGAGGCTCCTCCCCCCACCGGAAGAGCCCAGCAGTGAACTGAGATGGGGCACCTGATGCTGAGATGGCCAATGCCCTGTGAGGGGCACCAGGGCTGAGATTCGGATTGCTTGGGGAGCATTTCTTGGCAGCTTGGGGGTGGGATTTTCATCTCTAAACTGGGGGGTGGGAACCGCACCCACCTCGCAGGGTTGGGGTCAGTGAGCTAAAGACCTGGGCTGGACAGCAGACCGCAGGACGGGAGCAGGCAAAGGCGCCCACGCCCAGGTTGAATTAGCGCCTGGTGACTCAGAATTCCTGCCGAGAGACGGTCCCCGGCTAAGGACGCCTCAGGAACCCTTTTGTGCCGTGGGACTGGCAGCGGCCCGTGGGGCTTGGTCCTGCCTTGTCCTTGTGCTGCTGAACTTCATTAAACCCTCAGAGGAAACTGAGAATCTGGCAGAGGGCAGGACGGGTCCTTGGTGTGGGCCACCCGGCATCTTGGTGCTGGCTCCGGGATCGGAGGTGCCATGTGGCGACTCAGAACAGCGCTCAGGACTCAGCTGTGTGTCCTGGACTGCCCGCGTGTGGCTTTCAGTGATCCCATTTGCACCACTGTGTGACTGTGGCCCAGTGATTTGACCGTTCTGAGCCACAGGGGCCCACATTGCTCAAGCAGAGGAAGAGGGTCTCCCCCCCCCCCCTTAAGGCTGTTGCAGGGGCTGAATTTAATATTCAGTCGTGGGAGGGTTTAGGGCTGCCACTCGCAGTGCTCAGGGGTGTGGGGCTCACTCCTGACAGTGCTCAGGGGACCATCCAACTGGGCTGGCAGGGGCAAGCACCTTCCCCCCAGACTGTCTCTCCAGGGGGGCCTGCGGTCATTCTACGTGGAACGAAAGGGCCTGATTCAGCGGATTTCTCCAGTTCTCCTTTCATGGGATCCCATGTCTTGTGCCTGGGAGAGCCTTTGGCTGAAAGTCTCTCTCTCTCTCTCTCTCTCTCTCTCTCTCTCTCTCTCTCTCTCTCTCTCTGCTGCAGGTCGGCCGCCTCATCCAGGTGGCTGCAGGGAGCAGTAACCTCAAGAGGGTCACGCTGGAGCTGGGCGGGAAGAGCCCCAACATCATCATGTCAGATGCTGACAGTGAGTTCCGGGGCCTCTGCATCCACCGTGGTCCCCCTCACCTCTGCGACCCTCAGCATCCCTGATTGCTGCTCCCACGACCTGGGGACAAAGTTCAGACTCCTTTCGCCTGTCCCTCTCCTCCCTGCATCAGAATAACCCGGCTGGGCAGCGCCACTTCCATGCCCGCCCTGGGCCTTTTCCCTCCTCCCGGGCCCGTCCTCAGGGGAGCACTCGGGCAGGCCCCACTAATGAGCTTCTCCCGGGCGGCCCCAGGCCCCTGGTGCTTCCCTCGGCCTCTCCCACTCACGGCCACCTCTCTGCCCTCCGCAGTGGACTGGGCCGTGGAGCAGGCCCACTTCGCCCTGTTCTTCAACCAGGGCCAGTGCTGCTGCGCTGGCTCGCGGACCTTCGTGCAGGAGGACGTTTATAACGAGTTTGTGGAGCGGAGCGTGGCCCGCGCCAAGTCCCGCGTGGTCGGGAACCCCTTCGACAGCAGCACGGAGCAGGGCCCGCAGGTGAGTACGGCCGGGACCCCGATGCTTGTCCTGGGGGCGCTCTCGGAGCCCCTTCCGGGCCTCATTCCTCACCGGTGAGCGCAGGAAAGCCTTTGTCAGTTTACAGACACTGATCAGGACTGAGAACTTGTGTGCCGAAGGGATCACTTGCTTCTCGCGCTGTGGATGCTTTCCGTAAAAATGCTTTCCAGGTGCTTTCCCGTAAGAATGCTTTTCTCAAGTGGCCAGAGCAGTAGCACAGCAGGGAGGGCACTTGCCTTGTATGCAGCCGACCAGGCATCCCATCGGGTCCCCGGAATGCCACCAGGAGTGATCCTGAGCACAGAGCCAGGAGTAAGCACTGAGCACCGCCGGGTGTGGCCCCCAAGTAAAACAAAACAAATGCTTTTCCCTGCCGGAAGGAACATATGGTTATCAACATCCATGAGGTCAATTGGGGTGTGGCTTGTATGTCCAGGGCCTGGGGAACGACTTCATTTCACTTTTCTCTTCAGAACGGTTTGCTCTGATTTTTTTTTTCCTCCCCATGAGCTTACATTCATTTCGACCATTGAAACTATGGGCGTAATGTGCAGATATTGTGGACATGTTTCAAAAGCATGGCAGTGAAGTGACATTCCAATGAAACAAGACACACAAATGTTTTGATTTCCCAGTTGACATGTAAGATTGAGCGAGTCCTTATTATGGTGTATACTGTGTACTCTGGGCTGGAGCGATAGCACAGCGGGTAGGGCGTTTGCCTTGCACGCAGCCAACATGGCCGACCCGAGTTCGATTCCTCCGCCCCTCTCGGAGAGCCCGGCAAGCTACTGAGAGTATTCGATATGCCAGACACAGTAACAACAAAGTCTCCAATGGAGACGTTACTGGGCCCGCTCGAGCAAATCGACGATCAACGGGAGGGCCTTTACCTTTACCTTAATATTGGGCTGGAGCGATAGCATAGCGGGTAGGGCGTTTGCCTTACAAGTGGCCAACATGGCCGACCCAAGTTCGATTCCTCCGCCCCTCTCGGAGAGCCCGGCAAGCTACCGAGAGTATTCGATATGCCAGACACAGTAACAACAAAGTCTCCAATGAAGACGTTACTGGGCCCGCTCGAGCAAATCGATGAACAATGGGAGGACAGTGACAGTGACTGTGTACTCTGACCATAGATGTATTTTCTTACCATTAATTTATGTATTTGTTCTGGGGTTTTGGGGAGCCACATCTGCCTGTGCTTGGGTCTTACTCAGGTCTCTGAACTTAAGCATCAGTCCTGGTGGGGACTGGGGGTGCCAGGGATCTAATCTGGGCCGGCTGTGTGCAAGGCAAGGCAAGCACCTTGCCAGCTGCACTCGCTCTCTCACCCCTATTCCATTTTTCCTTTGTTTTGTTTTGGGGTCACACCCAGCAATGCTCAGGCACTCCTCCCGGCTCTGTACTCAGGAATCACTCCTGGCGGGCCCAGGGAACCCTCTGGGACACTGTACTATTGCTCTGGCCCCCTGTTCGATTTTTTTTATTCAACTTTTTAGGAGTCTCAAATTGAAAACTAAAAAAAAGGGTTTGATAAGTCTTTCTTTGAGGCCTGGTGCGGTTCCCTGAGCCTGTTCTCCTTCCGGCCTTCCTCGTTTACTTCCTGTCCGTATGTGCCCGTGTGGTTCTGGGCCTGAGCATCTGTGCTGTGCCCGTAGGTGGATGAGGAGCAGTTTAAGAAGATCCTCGGCTACATCAAATCTGGGAAGGATGAAGGCGCCAAGTTGCTGTGTGGGGGCGGGGCCGCGGCTGACCGGGGCTACTTCATCCAGCCCACCGTGTTCGGAGACGTGCAGGACGGCATGACCATCGCCCGGGAGGAGGTCAGCGTGCGGCCAGCAGCAGGGCATGTTCTGGGGAGGAGGACGGTCGGGCCCGCCCAGCATCTTGACGCTGTGACTTGGCAGCTGGCTCTGGGCTAAATCCTGGCTCTCTGCCTGGGACAAATTATTTACTATTCCCGCGTAATCTCTGTCCTTCCCTCTTCAGGCGGCCGCTGGCTGGAGAGGGCCTTAGTTTCCCATAGAGCCTGGGGCGGGGGCAGCTCGGTGTGTTTGTATTCTGGGCCCTGGGAACCATGAGCCACGGGGTGACTCTGCCCGGCCCTTCAGCCTCTTTGTGGATTTCCTTTATTTGGGAGTGGGGAACACAGCCAGCGCTGCTCTGGGATCACTCCTGGCTCAGGGATCACTCCTGGCAGGGCTCGGGGGACCAGCGGGGATGGTCGGCCTCATGCAACGCAGGTTCCCTACCTGCTGTGCTCCCTCTCTGGCCCCTGTGGTCTTCCTTCAAGCCACGCGTGGGTGTGGACCAAAGGCCTGGCCTTGCCCGTGGCGAGGGTCCCCTGATGTCCCCGCCCCGTCCCTTGGCTCTTGTTACGAAGCAGAGCAGGTGCCCTCCCCGGCATGTCCCACCAGAGAAAGGAAAAGAAGCTGCGTAGCAGGTGGCCCCACGGCCGCCCTCCCCTCCCACCCTGCTCTCTCGTGCCCAGATCTTCGGCCCAGTGATGCAGATCCTGAAGTTCAAGACCATAGAGGAAGTCGTGGGCAGAGCCAACGATTCTAAGTACGGCCTGGCTGCAGCCGTCTTCACCAAGGACTTGGACAAGGCCAACTATCTGACCCAGGCCCTCCAGGCGGGCACTGTGTGGTGAGTCTCCCAGTCGCCCCTCACAACACAGCCAGGAAACCCCAAAGTCAGGGTTTTCTGGGATCTGGTGTACCCATCCTGGCATGCCCCACGCACTGTCTTATGTTAGCCATGACAACCTTAGGGGGATGCTACTGAGAGAGAGAAGAGGGTCCTGAATATAAGGGTTTGGGCTGGAGAGAAGCACAGCAGGTAGGGCGTATGCCTTGCAAATGGCTGAACTGGGTTCGATATTCAGCATCCCATATTGTCCCCCGAGCACCGCCAGGAGTAATTCCTGAATGCAGAGCCAGGAGTAACCCCTGTGCATCACCGAAACGAAAGCAGGTAGGGCTTTTGCCTTGCACATGACTGACCCAGACTGGACCCCCAACACTGCCTGTGGGCCTCCCCAACCCCGCCAGGAGTGACCCCTGAGTACAGAGCTAGAGGTGATGGCAGGAGATGGTGAGCTGAGGGTTTGCACCAGGTGAGACTGGTTTTAAGGGCTCAGCACCCACTTCACACCCTCTCAGATGGGTCTAGGATTCCTTTGCAATTTCATCCATTGCAAGATAACTGATTTTTAAATTATGGTTTAAGTAGCCTGGTTACAGTAGTGTTTACGTTTATGGTCCTGATGAATACAGTCACCGAATCCCACCCCATCCGAAGTGCCCAAGACCTTCCGTCACCCCTAGTCCGCCTCCTACTCACCACCCTGCACCCCTCCAACTCCCCTGGGAGTCGAGTTCTGTAACTCAGAGCCCAGGCTTTGCCATTGTTCGCTTCTGTCTCCCCTCGTTTGGTCTCTGTTCACAGGTGAGCGAGTGGGGATTTGTCCTTCCCTCTCTCCTCCTCCTCTCAGCCTCTTCCCTCCAGGTGCATGCCCGTTGCAGCAAACTCAAGATTCATCTTTTTCCCAACTGCATAGCCTTCCCTGGTGTCCGTGCCGCCTCCCTTCTTTCAGTGCAGCAGCTGGTGGACGTTTGGGTGGTTTCTGCATCTTGGCTAATGCACTGCATTGAACGTGGGTGGGCCTATAGTCTACGTCTGTGGATGTTTTTGGAACAGAGTCCTAGAAGTGGAATCGCTGGGTCTTGTGCAAGCTCTAGTCTAGCTTTTTTTGAGGAAATTTGGTACTGTTCTCCATAGAGGCTGACCCAGACAGCCCCCACCAGCCTTGGATTGGGGCTCCTCACCACACCCCCATGAACACTGGTTGTTTTCAGTCTTTTTGACATAGGCTGTTTCCACTGGTGTCAGATAATATCAAACTTTTGCTTATTTGTTAAATTTTGGGTCATACCCTTCAGTGCTCAGGGGCCCACACGTGGCGCTGGAGATGGACTTGGGGTTGGCTGCCTGCAGGGCAAGTGCCTTAACCCCTGTACCATTTCTCTGGCCATCATAGTTCTGATTTGCAGCTCCCTGATAATAGTGACGAGAGTTAATAAGGACGTGGAGAAGTTAGAACCCTCATACCTTGCTGATAGAATTGTAAAATAGTACAGTCGTTGTGGAAAGTTGTCTGGCACTAGTTTAAAAACCTAAATATAGAATTTTTTTTTCTTGGCTTTTTTTTTGGGGGTCATACCAAGCCCTCAGGGGTTATTCCTGGCTCTGTGCTCAGGAATTACTTCTGGCGGTGCCCCAGGGACTGTATGGGATGCCGGGGATCGAGCCCGGGTCAGCCACATTCAAGGCGAATGCCCTACCTGCTGTACTATCGCTCTGGCCCTAAGTTTAGAATTTTTGATCCATACACTCACACACACACATACACGCGCGCGCGCGCGCGCGCGCGCACACACACACACACACACACGGTAGTACTTGGAGAACCGTGCAGTGCCAGGGATTAAGCCTGGGGCTCTTGCATGTAAAACATATACTCTGGCCCTACTTACTTTTTTCCCTTCACTGCAAAAAAAAGAGGCAGCATCTAATTAGCAAGAATGACTTATTATTAATAAGGACCCATCCTCTGGTGAGCCTTTTCCCCCACCCCCACCCCACAGGAATCAAACCCAGGGCCTCACGCATGCAAGGCAAGGCAAGTACTCCACCCCTGAGCTATGTCCAGGCCTCGGTCCCATTGTTCTTTTGTTTTTATAAACATTTATTAAACCTTTATTTATGTTTTATGTTATTTTAATGTTTTTGGCTTTGGTTTTGGCTTCTTGGGTCACACCTGGATATGCTCAGGGGTTACTCCTGGTTCTGTGCTCAGGAATTACTCCTGGCAGTGCCCGGGGGATGCTGGGAATCGAACCCAGGTCGACCACATGCAAGGCAAACTCCTTACCCCCATAACTACTGGTCCAGCCTCCAGGCCCCATTGTTAACATACCCCTGTTCCTGTGTGACCACGATGGCCCGCCTCGGGGCTGAGATATCACTTCCTGTCACCTCCCTCTAGTGTCTGCATCGAAGGTCATGTCCCTGGGTCAACCGTCTGTGTTCTCTGAATAAACACAGAAAGCACCGTAGGGGGCCCGAGGGCCATGACCACACCTCTATGAGTAGCTTCTTCCATCTCTGTTTCAAAATACAGGGTCAACTGCTACGATGTCTTTGGGGCCCAGTCACCCTTTGGGGGCTACAAGATGTCTGGGAACGGCCGGGAGCTGGGGGAGTACGGCCTGCAGGCCTACACGGAAGTGAAAACCGTAAGTGTGGTCCCTGCTCTCCTGCCCGTGTGTCCCGCCGAACTGCCAGCGATCATTTCAAGCTAAAAAGCAGAATAGAGAATAACACGTTCCGCAGGGCTCTGATTCTTAGCCTCGTCTCTGCACGTGCGGACAGTCATATCTCTTTACCAGAATGAAGACTGCTAAGGGCAAAGTGATTTTCTCTCTACAGCAAACACTAACTACAGTCTAAGCAGGTGACAGATGCACAAATAAGGGTATAAAGAAAAGAGAAATGGGCCCAACTGGGCTTTTTTTGGAGATTGGAATAAAGGTACGGGAGTAAGAGATCAAGGGGCTACACCATAAACTAACATCAGCAGGAGCCACCCCTGAGCACTGTGTGTGGGAGTCCAGGTACCACCAGTATGGCCCAAAGGATGAGACGGGGAGAGACTCTGAGAGAGAGAGAGTGCAAGAGAGACTTAAGGGAGCAGAGGGGGGTCAGGGAAACAAGAGCAAGAATAGTCTGCCCTGCAGTTCACAAGGTTAAATAAATGCATACAAAAATACATAAATAAATAAAGACGAGGTAAGAGGCCAGACCCAGCTTTGCAGCTGACTGTTACGCGCTGGGCTGTGGCCGTGGATGCAGAGGAGTTGGAGGTGGGACCTGAGCCCAGCTGGATGGGAGTGAGGGCCGGGAGGGCAGAGCTGCCGGGAAGAGGCCGAGTGGAGAGATGCAGTGTGGCCGCAGACAGAGCCCAGGCCGAGGTGCTCGGTGCTGGAGCATGTGGGAGAAAGAAGAGGCAGGATGGGAGTGCACGGGTGAGGGACTGGGAGGCAGAGCAGCTGCACCCCAGTACCCATGGGCCAGGTGCTGTGCTCAGTCTTTGTCTGAAGATCTCCCTGGAACTGTGGAAGCTATAGCCAGGATATAAAGGATTCTTAATTCTTAATTCCATAAAGGATTCTTCCTGGGCTGGAGTGATAATATAGCGGGTAAGGCACTTGTCTTGCACACACCTGGCCCAGGTTTGATCGCCAGGCACCCCTGATGGTCCCTCAAGCACCAGCAGTGCTTAGGGCTTACTCCTGGCTCTGCACTTAGGAATCACTCCTGGTGGGCTTGGGGAACCATGTGCAGCACCGGGGATCGAACCTAGGCTGGCCACGTGCAAGGCAAACGCCCTCCCCGCTGTGCGATTCCTCCAGCCTCATGTGCCAGGAAGTTTGGGTTGTGCCCCCCTCCCCAAAATCAGTCTCCTGGGTTCTGGGGAGGCTGAGTGTCACCCTCACAAAATGTGACCCTCGTGGGTCCCAGGCTGGGCCAGCTGGCCCTCGAGATGTCGGAATAAGGAAGGCGTTTCCACTCCTTGTGTTGGGCCCAGCCGAGAACTGATGGCCTTAGGGCTGCCTGAGCACTTACTGGCTTCTCTGCGTCCCTCTTGCAGGTCACAGTGAAAGTCCCTCAGAAGAACTCCTAAAGAGCGTCGCCACCCTGACCGTCCCACAAGATCATCCCAACCAAGAAAAATCTTCCTTGCATGCTGAAAGTCTCTGAAAAAAACCTTCCACAAAAATCCCCTGGATTGAGAAAGTTCCTGAATCTGAATTGGGCAATTGGCAGTGAGGGGTGGGTGGGTGAGGGGTCATGGAAAGCCTCTTAAACAGCAGTAAAACTAGCTCTGGTGGTGGCGGTGGTGGTGGTGGAGGGGGGAAGGCCGAGTACTGGTGATAAGAATTAAGTCTCATTCCGTCCATCTCACACTCTGTTCCTGCTTTTTATAAAGGAGAGTAAAGGCCGTTGTTTGCCATTGCACTAATGCTGAGGCAGCCGCTAGCTAGCACCTCGCTTTGTATCCTAGACTAAAACTTGGCGCCAGATAGTTCAGTGGAGAGGGCGTTTGCCTTGCGCGTGGGTGACCCGGGTTCAATCCCCAGCATCCCATATTATTCCCTGAGCACCACCAGGGGTGATTTCCTGAAAAAGACTCAAATGAAAACAATACTCCTCCCTCCCCCACCCCCCCTACACTTTTCCGGTAACTTCCTCCAACTCAACGGACCAAGCAGCAGAGGTGTAGGATAGGTTGTACCAAGCCGCCACCCCCTGGGGGTGGTAATAGGTGGTGTTTCTTCTGGTTCATAAACAAATCCCTGTGTTCATCTACCCCTGTGCCAGGCCTGAGGTTGGCACCTAAAAACTCCCATCTCCACCCTGGGCGAAAGGGGCAGCCCAGGAAAGCAGCCCTTGTCCAGCTGGCTCCCAGTAGGATCTGTGTTCCGTAATCAGACCCCTGTCTCCTCTCCGCCCTTCCGTCAGCAGACCCGGCCCAGGAGTTACACGGATTGTTAGGCAGAAACTTAGCTCAGAGTCCTGGATGAGCAACGGAATTGGAGCCAGGAGGGTTGGGTCACAGTATTGGTTTGGGGTCAAGTTTGGGACACTCATTCTTTAAGGCTCTGAGGGAAAGTTTGTATTGTCTTGGATGTCCTGTTGTATCATTTTTGCCTACAATGTCAGAGGGAGAGGAAACTCAGTTGGTTTCATTTCTTCGCCCAGACCTTCACTTCAGCTATGCTCTGTCTTGATAGGCCAGCCCTGTTAGATTAAAGACTCGTTTGACTTACACAAATGTACCTCACAGTTTGTGTTTCAGATCGAAACAGACAGATCTATTTAGAATGAAAAAGAACTGAATTCTGGGGCCGGGGAGATGACGCAAAGGGCCAGAGTGCCAGCTTTGCATGTTGCAGGGCCGGGTTCAATCCCCAGCACCTCAGGGAGCAGTGAGCCCTTCAACAGTGCTGGGTATGGTGTCCCAAATGAGGACTTGTTGCCATATGATAAAAAAAAAAATCAAAACACCTAGATAGCAGTTCACCAACAGCAATCAGAAGCAATAAGATGATACAATGCTACTGAATTTAATAATGAGATGCAAGGTACCCTAACCATTTAAGTATATGCACAAGGGCTTCCTACAGCAAGTAGGGTGCTTGCCTGGCATGCTGCCGACCCGAGTTTGGTCCCCGAGACCCCATATGGTACCCCACCAGGAGTGATTTCCTGTGCGCCGGGCCAGGAGTAAGCCCTGAGCACCGCCAGGTGTGACCCCCAAACTATAAATATATACACAGTGGGCTGGGGCTGTCCCTCAGCTATGGAATACTTGCCTTGCACATGTGAAACCCTGGTTTGACATATATTAGTTATATAACATATAATAGATGCGTGCAAGCAAACTCATGTAAATCTACAACTGTCCTTAGATTCCTACTTGAACTAAGTGCGTCTCCCTGAGGAGACCAGGATTTAGTGACCATCTGGCAACCGGGACAGTCCTGCACCCTCATATTGCTCCACATCAAGTGGATTCACTGGCAATGAGGTGACTGTTCCCATTTGGTTTGGGGCCATCCCCAGCAGTGTTCAGAGCTGACTCCCAGCTCTGTGCTCGGGGATCGCTCCTGGTGAAGCTCGGGGGATCATCTGTGGTGCTGGGGATCAAAGGAGCGAAAGGGTAAGACCAGGTACCATCCCTGGGAGTTCGGGGTCTGGAGTGGGGAGACAGCACCTCCAAAGAGATGAATCTTAACGCAGATGGCACAGATGGGTGAGGATGTCCCAGGCGGGCAAGGAACACCCCCCGCATCTCCCTGCAATGGCGGCATGGAAAGAAAGCTCCTTTCAGGGAGCTCTCGGGCTTCGTGCCAGGCTCTAGGTGTGTGCCAGGAGACGGAAGCAGAAGCACACACACTGTATTTTACTTTACAGGCCTCTTGCCAGATACCTGGTTCTTGAAGGTTTGAACCTGAGTAATAACTAAAACTAAAAACTATCATGCAGGGCTGGGGAGACAGTACAGTGGCTATTGCACTCGGGGTGTCGCCCAGCCCACCTGGAGTGATCCCTGAGCACGGAGCCAGGAGTAAGCCCTGAGCACAGGTGGGTGTGTCCCCAAAGCCAAAAATGAAAATTTTGGGGCCAGAGCGCTAGCACAGCGGGAAGGGCGTTTGCCTAGCATGCAGCCAACCTGGGTTCAATCCCCGGCATCCCATATGGTCCCCTGAGCACCACCAGGAGTGATTCCTGAGTGCAGAGCCAGGAGTCAGCTCTGAGCATCGCTGGGTGTGATCCAAAAAGAAAAAAAAAATTAAAATCTTATCACGTGCAGTTTATCAATGGGAGTTCCTTTATTCTGTTTAATATTTACCCCAAGCAGTAATAAACACCTAGCAGAGGCTACCTTGCACAAGTTAAAAACGTGACTCATGACAGGCCTCGGAAATAGGGTTAAGGTGCTTCCTTTGCATGTGGCCAACCTGGATTTGATCCCAGCACCCCAGCTGGTCCCCCAAGTATAGAACCAGGAGTGAGCCCTGAGCACAGCCAGGTGTGCCCTCAAAGACAAACTGATTAGTGTCCTGTGACGCGAGGCAGTAATCAGGAAACCCTGGCCTCACCAGATAGCACCGCTTTTCAGCCACCCTGGGCACGATGCTACGTGTCTGTATTACTTGGAGGGCATGCTCTGATCTCTGATCTCTGACCAGGACAGCGAGTTCAGGCCAGTCACTTGGTGTCTGCATGTCACAGGGCTGGGGACAGAACAGTCAGCGCAGCCAACCTCATGGCTCTCTCACATCCTGTTTGATTTTCGGTTTTCATAACCCTTTAAAAGTGGTAAAACCAATATCAAATCTCCCCCCCTAAAAAAAATAATAAAAAAAAACCGCATTCTTAATTCAGGGGCTGTACAGAAACGAACCCGGGCTGGGTTTGGATCCATGCCCATGTTTTGCTGACTTCTGTTTTAGAGATGAGGACATATGAGGAAGGCAGCGCGGGGACTCTCCAACAGTGTTTGTGTGCCTAATTGGAAGGGTCTAGTGACCTTCTTGGCCATCTTCATGTTTTCGGTAATTTATGAAACCGCAATCGCACACAGGCAAGGGCCATCCCTGTATTACCTCTCGTCCCCAACATTTTTTTGTTTTTGTTGCGAGAGGCTCACACCTGGCCATGCTCAGGGGTTCCTCCTGGCTCTGCACTCAGGAATTACTCCTGGTGGTGCTCAGGGGACCCTATGGGATGCTGGGAATCGAACCCGGATCAGCATGCCCTTAAGATAAAGCATGCCCTTGCACTATCTGAAAGGATCTCTGTTGATCTCTGCTGAGGGCAAAGCTTACTGGCAGAAAAGGGATTACTTGGGTTTGCTGGTTGTCAGCGTTCCCTCTGCTGAGATGGAGCCTGTTTGCAGTCATCGGCACTCTTTAATGCCGGCGATAAACTCTGGGAACCGCCCAGGCCATCCTGGCTTGAGATTATTATCCCCTGGCAGCAGCGGTGACGCTGCAACAAATCATCTGATGATTTCTCTTGATTTATTATTTTCAGTTTTACTTTCCCCCATTTATCATCGCTCATGTTTAATTATCTTTTAACTCGGTGCTGGGACCTCATTTACCTCTTACATCAGTCAGAACAAAGTGTTACTGGGGCCAGAGCGATAATCTGGCAGGGAGGGCGTTTGCCTTGTACACAGGTGATCCGGGTTCGAGTCCCAGACATCCCAGATAGCCAGGACTAATTCTGGAGTGCAGAACTCCTGAGCAACACTGGGTGTGACCCAAAAAGCAAAATCACCTGCGATGCTAAGTATTTGCTTTCTCTGGGAGTGAGCTGTTCCCAAGGCTGGTCCCAAGCCCAACCCAAGGCCTACAGTGCATCTGTGGAGATGGAACATGCCATGGCAAGAAAGTTGGGGTCAGGGTCAGGGCTACTCCTGGCTCTGTGCTCTGGCGTCACTCCTGGCATTGCTCAGGAGACTATATTTGGTGCCAGGGATCAAACCAGGCTTAGCCACATGCAAGACAAGTGCCTTAACCCCTGTACTATCCTGTAGGTCTTTTTTTTTTTTTTAAATCTTTTTAGCTCTTAACATTTGCTTTATGAATTCACTCATTTTTGGTTCGGGGGCAACACCCAAGGATGCTCAGGGGTTATTCCTGACTCAGTGCTTAGGGAACCATGAGCAATGCAGGGGAGCAAACTGTCAGCTGCACACAGGCAAGGGCCATCCCTGTATTACCTCTCGTCCCCAACGTTTTTTTGTTGTTGTTGCGAGAGGCTCACACCTGGCCATGCTCAGGGGTTCCTCCTGGCTCTGCACTCAGGAATTACTCCTGGTGGTGCTCAGGGGACCCTATGGGATGCTGGGAATCGAACCCGGATCAGCCACGTGCAAGGCAAACGCCCTCCCCGCTGTATTATCACTCTGACCCCAGCCTCAACCATTTTTTATACAGGTCAGCCCAGCAGTGCTTGGGGCTCAGGCAAAGCTGGGGACCCCCACGGGCTAAACATAGATCTACCATTATCTCCAGGCCGGGGCTTATCTGAGCTAAAGAAAATTCCCTGTTTATTTGAGATTTAGGGTGATGTTTTCCCTTAGTACCAGCTTAGTCCAAACCTCATCGTGCAGAGTGACGTGACTTCCATGCAGACTTACTTAACATTTGATTGCAAGACTCAGGAGACCTAATTCAAAGCAGTGTCAAAAGGATGGCTCTCAGATTGTCAAAATAGGGGTCTTTGGCTCTGATCGGGGTTTAATTCAGATGCTCAGTTCTGATCTCCTGACCCTCGTCTTCCACACAGACTTCATTTTCAGGCAGTGCCTGTTTTGGTTTGAGTAGGTCTTGAGCCTTAGGAAAGACTCCAAAAAAAAAAAAAAAAGCCCAGAAGAACTCCAACCCTTGGGGCCAGACGATAGCACAGCAGCTAGGGCTTGCATGTATCCGACCTAGGTTCGATCCCCAGCACCCCATATGGGCCCCTGAGTCCACCAGGTGTGATCCCTGAGCCCTACCAGGTGTGGCCCCCAATCAAAAACAAACAAAAAGTGAACTACAGTCTTGGGGCTAGAGACAGGTTGGGGGCTAAATGCTACCCCATTCAATTCCCGGCACCACCTGGTCCTTCAGTATTGCCTTGTGGCACCTGGGGTGGGGTGGGCACCTGAGCATCCCATACCTCCAGGCCTGTCACTAACCACTGCCAGGAGGGGCCCCCGGGTCTCATGAGCACCACGTGGAAGACCCCTTCACCAAGGAAAAGAAAAAAGTCCCAACCTCCCATGGGCAGTGCCAAGTTCAAGTCCCCTAGCCAGGAGAAAGCCCTTCTGGGAGTTTGGCAATACTGGTGTAACTGACTGACTTTCTACCCCCTTTTAACGGGGGGAATGTGCTCGAATGTTCTGGAATGTACTGAGTCACACAGGCCACCCGCATAGCCAGGAGTGGAGCCTGCTCTAGGGCACGTGGACTGCGATGAGGAAGAGGCAAGAGGCAGATACACCCCAAGAAAATTAGTGTTCCCAGGCCAGAGGGCTGGTCCAGGGGTTGAGGTGCTTGCCCTGCACGTGGCTATTCAACCCCCAGGACCATGCAGGGTCCACTGAGCACCGCCAAGAGAACTCCCCAGCACAGAGCCAGAAATAAGTCTTCAAAAGAAAAGTAGGGTTCTTAGGAGAGGACGTAGCAGAGAATGGAAAGTTCCCAGGGAGTACTGCCAGCTCCTCAGTACTCCAATACCCCTTTAGAGGAGAATCAGAAAACACCGGG